ATAATTTAAAACCTTCTATAGAAAAATATCTAGGCTCAAGTAGCTTCACCAGTGAATTTTATTCATTATTTAAGGAAGAAATAACAGCCATATACAAGCTTATCTGGAGAGTAGAAAAAGAAGGAATACATTCCAACATGTTTTGTGACCAGAATAACTTTGATACCAAAACCTGAGACACGAGAAAGAGAAATTACAGGCCAGTTCTATTTATGAATGGACATTTCTTTAAAAAAAAAATCACCAAAATGCCAGGAAACAATTTGCTCGAGTTTGCTTTACATTGGTTTAACATTTGACACTTAGTTGAAATCCACTGCTATAACAGAATTAAGGAGAAATATTGTTTTAATAGATAGTGAAAAATGATAAATTTAGATATCCACTTGTAGTTGAAAACTCTTAGCAAACTGAGAAATAGAAGGGAGTTTTAATGTGATAAAGTGTATCTTCAAAAAGTTTAAGATTACTTTAAACTTTATGGTGAACTGTTGAAACCTTTAGTCTTGAAATTTGGAACAAGTCAAGGATGATACACTTTTATTTGGCTTTGAACTCAGGGTATGCTGACCAGTACTGTAAGGATAGCAAGAAAAAGAAATAAAAATATATGATAGGAAAGGAAAAGAAATAGAGAACTGTCATTATTTGTGATGTAATTGTTTAGCATCCAAAAGAATCTACAAAAAATTCGTGAGAGTCAGTAATGAAGAAATGCTGGTTATAAGGTTGATAGAAAACAAAAACCAATTATATGTTCATATACCAGAAACAGAAAATGAAAACTTAAAATTATGACATACGATAGCAGAAAAAGCCCTGTGAATTTCTAGGAATGAATCTAACAACAACAAAAGTAAAAACAAGTAAAGGCACAATTAAAAAAACTTACATTTTGGAGACTGGACATGGTGTCTCCAGCCTGTAATCCTAGCTCTTTGGAAGGCTTAGGCACTGGGGTGGGGTTGGGGTGAGGATGGCTTGAGTCCAGGGGTTTGAGATCAGCCTGGGCAACATAGCGAGACCCGAAGTCTACAAAAAAGTTAAAAAATAAAAAATTAAAAAGCCAGGCATGGTGAGGCTGAGGTGGGAGGATTGCTTGAGGCCAAGAATTCAAGGCTACAGTGAGCTATGATTGTGCCACTTGCACTTCAGCCTAAACAAAAATAAACTTGACGTTACTGAGAGAGATGAGAGATAACCTAACCAAATGGAAAAATTGTACAGTGTTTATGGTTTTGAAGAGTCTGTATTATAATATGATCTCAGTGAAAATTCTTGCAAGTATTATTTTAGAAATTGACCAACTTGTTCTAAAATATGTGGAAATGTAAAGGGCCAGGAATAGCTAAGACACTCTTGAGGAACAGCAAGAAGGAAGAACTTGGTGTACCATATAATTTACCATAATTAATACCGTGTGATATTAAAGCAAAGATAAATAAGTGGAATAAACTAGAGAGCTCCAAAACAGACCTAAGTACTGTCAGCTCTTTGTATCCTCAGGTTCCACATCCGTGGATTCAACTAACCTAGGATCAAAATATTTAGGGGAAATATTTCAACTGGTTGCATTTGTACTGAAATATACAATTTTTTTTCCCTAAGCAATGCAGCATAACAGTGATTTACATAGTATTTACATTGTATTAGGTATTTTGAGTAATCCGAAGATGATATAAATTATATTGGAGGTTGTGCATAGGTTATGTGCAAATGTGACACCGTTTTATATAAGGGAGTTGAGCATCTGTGGATTTTGGTATTTGTGTGGGGACCTGTAACCAATCCCCCCCACCCCAGATACTAAGGGACGATTGTGTAGATCAACATTTATGACAGTAATGACACTGTGGAGCAATTGGAAACGGGTAGTCTTTTCAATAACATTTGTATTCAGTAACATTCGGATATTTAATAACATTTGGATATTCATGTGAGAGAAAAAAAGAAAATTATCTCATGCACAGACATCAATTCCTGGTACACTGTAGATGTAAATTCGAAAGACTTAACAATAAAGCTTCTAGAAGATAACACCAGAGGGTATCTTGGTGACCTTAGGGTGGGGAGAGACTTCTTTTAAACAGGACACAAAACGCTGACCATGAAGATAAGGTTGAAAATTTGAACTACGTTAAAATTAAAAACTTTCAGTCATCATAAGACACCATTGAAGAGGGAGAAGACAAGCCACAGATGGGAAAAATACCTGCCAGCTGTGTAACCCCAAAGTAGAAATCAGTAAGGAAAAGATAACACAATAGAAAAACACAGGAAACTTCAAATGTCCTTCAAAAAAATGCTTATCCAAATGGCCAACAAATATGAAAAAATGCGTAGCTTCATGAGTAGTCAGAGGAATGCTAATTGAAACATTTAATACATACACTAGAATGGTTAACGTATAAAAACACTGATAATAAATATTGGAAAGGAAGTGGATCAAAAGAAATTTTTACACTATATGGAGGGATAAAATTATGTACAACCATTTTAGAAAATAATTTAACACTACATACTAAAGGTTTTTTTTTTTAAATCATCTTTGTCCTGTAGTCTTTTTTTCCTCCAGGTTCAGTCTCTTGTCCTGCTTCTTTATCTTGTCCTGTGTCTCTCATGATAGAGCCCTTCATGAACCTTTGGTGAACGTTGTTTAAGTGTGAAACAATGAAAATTTGAATTAGGAGCTTGTGTTCAGGAACAGAGCTGTCCACTGCCTACCTTAATTTGGGGTGACCACCTAAAGTGCCAGTCTTTGAGATGGAAGCCATATAATGGAACACAGAATTCTTTTCATGGGTTATTTCAATTTTTCTAGAGAAAAACTTGCCTATTACCTACAAGTCAGAAGCCTGGCTTTTGGTGTTCTGTGGGCAGTGATGGTCGCTTGTTCTATGTATTAGTTCCACCTTTTCATTCTTGTTTTCTGCAAAACTCAAGTCTCTGAGCGTCAAGTCTCTCTGGAGTTCTGTAGGGCAAAATTTGCTACTGATCACACCTCCTTCTAGAAATGACATTCCAAGCTTAATTAAGAGTAAGAGCCTGAGGTTTTAAGAAAAGGATTTGCATTAGACTTGGTACGCTCTTGTCAACTATATGGCACACTTTTTAATGGACCTTGTGTATGTATGGTGTAGCTATACACACACATATCTGTACATGCCATCACTGTAGCTCTATCAGATAGTATTGTCCCCATTCTGTAATTGAGGCTTATTTGATGTGATTTTCAGATTCCTTTTTTTTTTTTTTTTTGGAGACAGAGTCCCTCTTTGTCACCTAGGCTGGAGTGCAGTGGCATGATTTCAGCTCACGGCAACCTCCACCTCCTGGGTTCAAGCGATTCTCATGCCTCGGCCACCCAAGTAGCTGGAATTACAGGCATGCACCACCAAGCCCGGCTAATTTTTGTATTTTTAGTGGAGATGGGGTTTCACCATGTTGGCCAGGCTGGTCTTGAACGCCTGACCTAAAGTGATCCATCCGCCTCAGCCTCCCAAAGTGTTGCGATTACAGGCCTGAACCGCTGCGCCAGGTCAGTTTTCAGATTCCTAATTACTATTTTCGTATTTGAACTTGGATACCAGCTGGAATCTGTGTGCTTTCAGAGTTTAAGCACATTACTGTCGTATACTACTTGAGTTTATTTAAATTGGAGATGTGGGGAGGTTAAGTTGATGAGTTTCTAAATTGGAAGTCCTTTGTTAAAGTGGATTATGGTGGGGGTTTAGGTTGGGTAAAGAGGTAAAATTACTATATACTGAAGCACTGGGCAAAGATAAGGGACTTTCTTTGAATATAAAGAGCTATTAGCAGATTTCAGAATCTAGGATCTTGAAGAGCTAAATTAAGTGCTTATAGATCAGTCTGTGAGTCTCAACATAGGGTGAAAGAAGATGTATGAAAATCCCCTCGGAGACTTTCTTCTAATGATATAGGCATACTACCTACCACCTTTCATCTGAGAATTACGTTTCTAAGGTGTGGCAATGCCAAATAAGAGCCAGTGGAGTACAGAAGATACCAGAAGTACCCAGCTTCTAAAGCCCTGATGGCAGTGGGTTTTCTAGCATGTTACTTTTATGTAATGATATACTAACAGTTGGATAAATGCCAGAAAAAATAGGAGACCATATACATAAGAATCAGTACCTATTTGATTGAATAAATAAATGAAAACCACCGGTGGAATTTTGTGGAACTGATAGCAAACTCTTATATTTTGGTCTTTTATGCAGATGACATGCAAATGAGGAAAATTTACTTTTCACGATTTAACTCGTTTTTCCTATTGGCCTTAAAAAAATAACTTGTATATATGAATACTAGGAATTTCTGTTGAGGGATGGTAATTTTTTATTGTACAATTTTTTATTTATACAGTTATTGACATCACTGTCCTGTTTAGTGATATTCAGAGTTTAGGTTTCTTACCAGTTAAAGGTAGAAAGGAATATGTACTCTTAAGACACATTTAGCATAGCCAACCTATAATTTTCGGTAACATATTTCTGAACAGGTGCTTTGGAGAAAGTATAATTTTTCTTAGGTAAATCGAAGAGGACTTTCCCCCAAGGATTTTGGTAGAAAGGGCAGTCCCTAACAATTTCTTCAACACTGTCATTACAAAGAGAAGTTGGACATTTTGTGGAAGGGACTTGCATTCTTGGCTGGCATCTAATATTTTGTCAAACTCTTTAATACTGTCTGTTTTAGGTTATATGTTGATGGACAGTTGTACCTGTTCTAGCTGTATACTGTTCCCAGTTCATAGTTTGTGTTAATACTTGTGAAAATGTAATGCTAAACGATGAGCTATTGTAATTAAATCTGAGACTTAGCAAGAAATTCATAAGGGCTATAGATTTTATTTCAACTTAGTATTAAAAAGACATTTAACTTGAGTAAGTAAATGTAGATATACTTTATATTTTAAGAGCTGCAAGTTCCAGCAAGTGAAAAATATATTGTGACCCTTTTTTTTTTTTGTTTTTCAGTTTAATTTTGTTGGGAGAATCCTTGGACCTAGAGGACTTACAGCCAAACAACTTGAAGCAGAAACCGGATGTAAAATCATGGTCCGAGGCAAAGGCTCAATGAGGGATAAAAAAAAGGTAAGTCCTTGAAAATGGCTTGAGTCTTTATGTGAGTAACTTACTATACTTTTACATCTCAATAATAAAATTTCCAGATGTTTTTGTGCTTAAAACACTATATTCCAGGGCGGCCATGGCGGCTCATGCCTGTAATCCCAGCACTTTAGGAGGCCGGGGCAGGCGGATCGTCTGAGGTCAGGAGTTTGAGACCAGCCTAGCGAACATGGTGAAACCCTGTCTTTACTAAAAAAAATACAAAAATTAGCTAGGTGTGGTGGCAGGTGCCTGTAATCTCAGCTACTCAGGAGGCTGAGGCAGGAGAATCGCTTGAACCTGGGAGGCAGAGGTTGCAGATTGTGCCACTGCACTCCAGCCTGGGCGACAGGAGTAAAACTCTGTCTCAAAAACGAACAAACAAACCCACTGTGTTCCATGTCAGGAACTTTTAAAACTTTTCAAAGGTGGTGTCATGATTTTCTCTTGTTTTTCTTTTTTGTTTGTTTGTTATTTTTGAGATGGAGTCTCGCTCTGTCGCCCAGGCTGGAGTGCAGTGGTGCAGTCTTGGCTCACTGCAGCCTCCGCCTTCTGGGTTCAAGTGATTCTCCTGCTTCAGCCTCCTGAGTAGCTGGGATTACAGGTGCTCGCCACCATGCCCAGCTAATTTTTGTATTTTTAGTAGAGATGGAGTTTCACCATGTTGGTCAGTCTGGTCTCGAACTCATGACCTTGTGATCCACCCACCTCAGCCTCCCAAAGACCTGGAATTATAGGCATGAAACACCACGCCTGGCAATTTTCCCTTGTTCATTATCATTTTTTTTACTTAGCAAATTAAAGTATCAGTTCATCATGTTACTTTCCTTTGTTATTTACTTTTGGGAAGCTGCGATTTTGGAAATTAGTCAGACTGTAATGTGTGTAAAAGTATATAACTAAAAGTTTGAAAAATCTGAAATATTTCTTTTGATGAGATTTAAGTAAGAATGGTCAGATAACTTTGGATGTATGTCACATCACTGGGAGAGTTAGAAGACAGAACTCTATTGAAAGGAAGAAGGCGGTCACTAGCCATGTGAGATACATTGTGGGTTTCATCCACATTTTGTGTTGATTTTACATTTTAAAGTATTTTGTTTCTGTTTCTGTGGGTTTTTTTCTCCTGCCATTTCTTCTTTTGCTGGTTTAACTAGTAAAGACCCAACTATCTAAATATTATTTTTAGGAAGATTTTATTAACCTAGTTTGTTTTATCCAGCAATACTGCGAGGTGGGATAGTTTTGAATTTCTATTCTTGTAAAAATTGGCGGATTTAAAAAACTAGATTTTGATGGCCCAAGATTAAAAGTATTTTAGGAAGGTTTGGTCTATCTGTCTTTCTGTCTGTCTGTCTCTCTCTCTTTTTCTTTCTTCCTTCCTTTCTTCCTTTCTTTCCATTGACTTGAAGGGGCTATCTAGGAATGGTGCGTGGTTAACTGTGTTAGACCATGTCCACTGAATCGCTTTGTGGAATTTACGGAATGAACGCCAGACCCACAGGGTATCTGATAAACTTGTTTTCTGAGCCCTCATGTCTTTTAAGCCCTCACATAAGCTGACTGGGTCTCATTCATTTTTGCTCCTCATCAGTGATTTAGTAGCCAAGAAATTTGGGCAAAAATTTCTCATAATATTGATTATTTAAAAATCTTATAATGTATTCTTTGTCAGCTGTGTTTAAAGATATTTTCATGGGAGTCTGTGAGTTCTTGAGCATTTTTAGATGTATTAAATTTTTTTATTAGAATCTTAAAAAAATTGTGCATATTTCGAATCAGTTGAGTGATAACCTTTTCAGATGAATGTTGCCATAAAGTTTTGGTTCTCATGTTTGGACTTAGGATTATGTGGGCATTAAGTAATACTATTTAATTGCCTATGGACAGTGAATGAAGTCTTGACAACTGGCAGATATATAAATCTGTACAAAAAGGTTAGTATATATTCATCAGTTAAGCTGTTCTGTCAGCCAGTTAACGAAACCCCTTTCCCCCTCTTCTGAGTTTCTGTGAATTCTGTAGTAATGGCCCTCCACTCACCTTGCTCACTCTTTCAAGCCCTCCCAGACAGTGAGCATTAGAGCTTGTAATTGTGTGATTATACTGTTGCATTCTTGTAAGTGTTTATAATAAAAGTAAAGTCAGAATGGAATGCTTGACCATTTGGTAAAGAACATGAAAAGAGATGGAAACAAAAAGAAGTATTGATGTAAGTAGTAAAGATAGCTCATTGAGTTGTATTTCAGGAGTTCAAGAGAAAAAGCCGTTTGCTTTAAACTTTTCTACAGAGTTTTCCATATACATATAGACGTATGTGCGTGTATATATATATGTGTATATATAATGTGTGTATAGATATATGTATATCTACACAGACTAAGAAAGCTAGAAAATCTTAATTTACTGATTGCCTGTTTTACTTTTAACAAAAGAAGTTATGATGGGAATGTTGTGTGCTGGTCTGAATCCTTCCCTACACTGGTAAACTCAGTGCGAGCCTACCATGGCTGTTTTATGGAGTATCAATTTCCTTGGTGTTTGGTGAGTACCTGACACAGAGTGCAGGCCTTGAAAAAATATCTGTGAAAGGAGTGACTAGTTCAGGTAATAAATGAAAGGCTTAGGTGCACCTTCCCTCATGTTCCCTAAAAGGTTTGGTAAATAAAGGAAATTGTAAATGCTGTGTACTTCTAATGCTTTGGGGAGGATAGTACTATATTATTCTAAGCTACTGGTTTTAAGCAAATAAGTTAATATGCCACTTTAATTTTCATTTTCTTGGATTGTTATTTCAGCATTATTGATGGGCTCAACAGCATTGGTTTAGTGCATAAATACCCAGTGGAATGGTACTGGTTAAGATCACAGAACCAGGGCTTGAAAACTATTACGAACTTCTTGTCTGTATTGGCTAAGTTTTATTATTCCTATTTTGTAAATGAAGAGACCAAAGCTTCGGGGAAGTTGAGTAATTTGCCAAAGGTCACACACCAAAATGTGGCAGTCAAATTTGAAACTAGGCTGGGTGCAGTGGCTCACACCTGTAATCTCAGCACTTTGGGAGGCTGAGGCAGGAGGATCCCAGGAGTTGAAGACCAACCTGGGCAACATAGTGAGACCCCCATCTCTACAATAAAACTTAAAAAAAATTAGCCAGGTGTGGTGATGTGCACCTGTAGTCCCAGCTGCTAGGTAGGCTGAGGTGGGAGGATGCTTGAGCCCAGGAGCTGAGGAACAGTGAGCTATGATTGTGTGCCAGTGCACTCCAGCTTGGGCTACAGAACGAGACTCTGTCTTGGGAGAAAAAAAAACAAAAAAACTGAAGTCTAAGTTCTATGCTGTTGTACATTATTTTCTAATTATAAACCATTTCTAAGAGTGATAACTTCAGACATATTAGAGCAACTTGAATATTGAGTATTATAAACTTTGACTACCATTTCATACACACCACTCAGTACACTTCTGACACCAGATGCTGTGAGGATTTCTCCCCACAAACCAAACAAATCTCCAGGAAACACCATCTGGATGTCCTCTAATTCAATTCAAAACTGGGAATGATGTCACATACCACAGGTTGAGGGCTCAGTCCCATAAGACTGTCTCCACTTCAGATGCCAGTTGCAAGCCCCAGTGATGACCTGTGCTTTTGACCGACCAGCTATAAATGTGTTTTTTTGCAAGTCCCTCTTCAGGTTCAATTAATTTGCTAGAGTGGTTCACCGAACTCAGGGAAACACTTTACTTACTTATTATAAAGGATATTACAAAGGATACCGATGAACAGCAGATGGAAAAGATGAATAGGGCAAGACATGTGGAAAGGGGCTCAGAACTTCCATCCCTTCTCCAGTGTGCCACCCTCTATGTTCCTCCATGTGTTCAGCTGTTTGGAATCTCTCCAAACCCTGTCCTTCTGTTTTTTTTTTTATGGAGGTTGCATTATGTAGGCATGACTGATGTTCATCATTGGCCATTGGTGTTCAACTCAACATTCAGCCTTTCTCCATTCCTTAGAGGTTGGGGAATGAGGCTGAAAGTCTCAGCCCTCTATTTTATTTGGTTGGGGTTTCTCTGGCAATCAGCCTTGATCTTGAGACTATCCAGGACCCCCACCCATTTGTTACCTCATTATACAAAAAGACACAAACACGTTCCAGACCACCACAATAAGGGAATATTGCAATAAAGCTAGTCACACATTTTTTTAGTTTCCTAGTGCATATACAGGTTATGTTTCTACCATACTGTAGTCTATTAAGTGTGTAACAGCGTTTTGTCTTAAAAATATGCATGTACCTTAGTTTAAAAATAGTTTATTGCTAAAAAATGCTAATGATCATCTGAGCCTTCAGGGAGTTTTACTCTTTTGCTGGTGGAAGACCTTGCCTGGATGTTGATGGCCGCTGACTGATCAGGGTGGTGGTTGCCAATGGTTGGGGTGAGTGTGATGATGGCTTAAAATAAGAAAAACAAAGTTTGCCTCATAGATTTACTCTTCCTTTCCCAAAAGATGTCTCTGTAGCATGCAGTGCTCTTTGATAGCATTTTACCCACAGAACTTTTGCTGTTGCTTTTTAAACTTTATGTAATATTCTAAATTTTTTTATTGTCTTCAACAGTGTTCACAGTATCTTCACCACAAATACATTTTATCTCAAGAAATCACTTCCTCTGCTCATCCATAAGAAGCAGCTCCTGATCAAGTTTGATCATGCCATTGCAGCAATTCAGTCACATCTTCAGGCTCCACTTCCAATTCTAGTTCTCTTGCTCTTTCCACCACATCTGCAGTTTCTTCCCCCATCATACTCCTGAACCCCTCAGTGTCTTTCTTGAGGGTTGTAGTCAACTTTTTCCAGACTCCTGCTAATGTTGATATTTTGGCCTCTCTCCATGAATCATGAATGTTCTCAGTGGCATTAAGAATGGTAATTCCTTTCCAGAAGATTTTCAATATACTTTGCCCAGATTTATCA